CAAACCCACGAACCGCAAGACCATGACCTGAGCCGAAGTCAGATGCCCAACTGACTGAGTCATTCAGGCACCCCAGGTAATTTCTAAGTGTAAAGAGAATAAGTTAAATTAGTGGACAAATGAGGAGTCATTGAAATTTGAATTGTGGATGACAAACTTGAGACACCATGTGTTAAGTTACCTGTAGGATAATTTCAGAGGATGTTCAATCTGTGTTGGTTGGAGGGATAAGTGAAGCAGAAAGGGCAACAAAGTGGACAACCTTTTTTCTTTTTTTAAAAAATAAATGTAATTCCATCTCTGTCTGGAAGCGAATACTGTTGGCCTTGAAGAAGGTCATAGCAAGATTATGTATTCCCCTTGCATAGATTGAAAATACAGAGTGGGCATGTGCCCCAGATAGTCTACTTGTAATTTAATTTTTATTTTATTTGTTTTTAACGTTTTTATTTATTATTGAGAGACAGAGAGAAAGAGATAGTATGTGCATGGGAGGGGCAGAGAGAACGGGAGACACAGAATCTCACAGACACAGAATCCACAGCAGGCTCCAGGTTCTGAGCTGTCAGCACAGAGCCCGACGCGGGGCTCCAACTCACAAACCACGAGATCGTGACCTGAGCCGAAATCGGATGCTTAACCGACTGAGCCACCCAGGCACCCCTACTTGTAGTTTAGACAGGGTTTGGATTCTGATCCCGGCACCTTGCTATGCTATGATAAAAACTGCGAGTGAGGGGTTCAGAGAACAGAGCCAGCTCTCTTGCTGGTCATGCTAAAATGAACTGTTGTTTTTTAAAAAGCGTTAGAAGTGCTATAAGATAGCAGGAAGTGGAGACAGGCCAAAAAGACCATGTGGTGGAGACCTCTCTTATCTTTCACCGCAGTTAATTAACCAGCTCAGAGAAAAGATAAAGGAGAAAGAAATGCTTAGAAAATAAATAAATAAAACCCGGGCATAGGGTCAAGCAGAACACTTGTTGTAGAAGGAGATAATTATTATAATTAATGGTGATACATATGGATGATGTCAATTTGTGAAAGCGGTGAGGGTCTGGGAATTCTTCCATTCTCTCTTCCTCTAGGCCTCTGCTAACTCACCTACAAATCCCTGTTAACCCGGTGACCCCACTGCTATCTTTGTATTTTTGGGGGGAGTGTGTGTGCGCGTGTGTGCACGTGCGCACGCGCACGCACACACACACGTGCATGATTCTAAATAGCTCTGGAAAGTAGTTCTACAGATAGCAAGTAACCCAGAATAACCAAAAGGGCTCGACAATATGCTTAGTTGAACGTAATCTGAAATGCAATCAAGTTCATGGTCTCCCGTGATTAAGAAGAGCTAGCCCTCCCAACTAAGATGAAAAAGGAGGATGTTTTTTCTTCAGTATTGACTGCTGCACATTATCCAGCCTATTGAAGAATTACTAAATTTTAAAGTTGGAAGGGTTTTTAGAAATCAAAAATTCTAATTTTTTAGGAGGATGTTTTTTCTTCAGTATTGACTGCTGCACATTATCCAGCCTATTGAAGAATTACTAAATTTTAAAGTTGGAAGGGTTTTTAGAAATCAAAAATTCTAATTTTTTATCCCTGTAGATGAGAAAAATTGAGGCCTAGATAGGCTAAGTTATATCACCAGGGTTGCACGGCTGGACGGTGGCCCGGCCAGGATTGGCACAAAGGTTTCTAGTAACTTATTGTTACTCATTTCATGTGGCAGGTGTGTGAATAGAAGTTAAATATATTTTTAATGTTTATTTATTTTTGAGACAGAGAGAGATAGAGCGTGAGTAGGGAAGGGGAAGAGAGAGAGGGAGGCATAGAATCTGAAGCAGTCTCCAGGCTCTGAGCTGTTAGCACAGAGCCCGATGCAGGGCTCAAACCCACACAGTGTGAGATCATGACCTGAGCCGAAGTCGGACGCTTAACCAACTGAGCCACCCAGGCGCCCCAGAAGTTAAATATATTATTGTGTGTTCAGACACGTTTGAATATGTTTTTTTAAAACTCTGCTGTCATTACTTTACACACAAGTTTTTCAAGCACAGACATGGGTTCAAAGACCTATTCAGCTTTTACTTGTATAGTCTTGAGCAACAAAATTTTGTTATTTGCAGAATATTAAGCTATATCATTGAGAACTTTAACCCTTTTATCTTCCCATGTCCTAGCTTTTTAAAAAGTTTGTATTTACTTATTTTGAGAGACAGAGAAAGAATGAGCTGGGTGTGTGTTGGGGGGGAGGGGCAGAGACAGAGGGAGAGAGAGAATCCCAAGCAGGCTTTGTGCTGACAGCAAAGAGCCTGACTTGGGGCTCAAACTCATGAACTGTCAGATCATGCCCTGAGCCGAGATCAAGAATCGGATGCTTAACCCAATGAGCCACCCAGGAGCCCCCTCTATATCCTACCTTTTAAAATCTAAATCTTTTGCAGGGGGTGTTTCTGGCTGGCTCATTTGGTACAGCATGCAACTCTTGATCTTGGGGTTATAGTTCAAGCCCAACTCTGGATGTAGAGATTACTTAAATAAGTAACCTTAAAAAAACAAAAACAAAACTTTTGGGGGGAAAATTTCAGGGTGATGATAAAGGAAGTCATATAGTTAGCTGGGCATAAGCTCAAGGTCTCTTAGATAAGCCTGTCAAAGAAAGATTCCTCAGGAGGCAGGGTGGTCTCTGAGCTGTGAAGCGCAGAACACACAGAAGGGCTGAGCTAGAGAAAGCTTCAGGATCTCACTGGTGATCTCTCCAGCTCATCTGGTCTTATCTGGAGGCCTGTGCCAACTTGCATATTCACCTTTGAACGTTGGTGCGAATTCCCTCTTTTAAATATCACAATCATGTCCCAGATGCATGTCATTCTGTCTCTGACATCAAACAGACAGCTCGTGTTCTTTACCAGCATGCCTCCAGTAGCTCGAGAATGGCATTCTACAGCAGGCCATGGGTTCATGAGTCAGAGCTTCCCATCTTCGCTCTTCCTTCCATCAGAGCCTATAGCACCGAGTATTATCATGTAATTTATTTTCGTGAATGTTTATATCTGTTACTATTTATTTCCACTTACCTGTGGAAAGCTCTGATGTCAAGTTCCAATTCAACCGCTTTTGAACTCTGTGGCTAGAACCAAATCACTCGGCTTCTTGGAGTCTATTTTTTTTTTTTTTTTTAAATCTCTGTAAAGCTGTAAGGTTTATACCTGATCTTCTGTTCCAATGAGATGAAAGTGGGAAGTGCTTGACATTTTCCGGGGTGATAAGCACAATTCAAAGAAGGGCCCCAAGATTCTCACGCCCTGGTTTATATAGCCTGTGTGATCTCCTCCCCTTGAGTGTGGGCAGGACCTGGGACCAAGATAGGATTTCACAGCTATGAAAGGATTACTAATCAGTTGACTAGGAGTTCATCAAAAGGGTGGGCCTGGGGGCGCCTGGGTGGCTCAGTCTCCAAGTGTCTGACTTCGGCACAGGTCATGACCTCACGGTTCATGGGTTCGAGCCCCACGTCGGGCTCTGTGGTGACAGCTCAGAGCCTGGAGCCTGCTTCAGATTCTGTGTCTCCCTCTCTCTCTGACCCTCCTCTGCTCACACTGTCTCTCTCTCCCAGAAGTAAATAAAACATTAAAAAAAAAGGTGGGCCTGGCCTAATCAAGTGAACCTTAAAAGAAGAACTACAGCCTTCTTAAAGGGAGATATAAAGCCAGAGAGACGCTCCTGCTCACTTGAAGAAGTCAACTGCTCTGAGCTGTCTGTGGATGGAGGGCCTGTGAACCTGGCAAGGACTTGAGTGTGGCTTCAGGGAGCTGAGAATGGTCCCCAGCAGACAGCCACCAAGAAGTTAGGGACTTCAGACATATGGCTGCAAATAAAAAATCCCACCCTCATCTGAGGGAGCTTGAAAACAGACTCTTGTCCAGTTGAGCCTCTCAGTGAAATGCAGTCCAGCCAACCCCTCCATTACAGCCTGGTGAGACCGTGAGCAGAAAGCCCAGCTGAGGCTGTGCCGGAACTCGGGTCCACAGAAACTGTAAGGTAGTAAGTTAGTGTTATTTGACACTAAGTCTGTGCTAAGTGTTACGCAGCAGTGGAAATGAATACAACTACTCAGTATCGAACACCAAGAGGTGAGGGGTGAGGGACATGGACATTCTCTCTTCTCTCCTGATACCCCCACCCTGTCAGCTAGGGCACAGGTATGATCAACCAGATGTGTCCACCTGGAACTTCGAATCTGGGGGGAGGGACACGAAAACTCAGAGACCGTTAGAGGTTAACTCCTGAGGTCAGCAGCAGTGGGAGCAGCGCCTGGCACAGCTTTTGGACAATATGTGACCGTGGCATGACTAGTGGGGCCACATGGAACCAGGTCCCCTTCGTTCCTGACCGTTCTCCGTGTTTGGTGTTCATGTAAATTCTGTGAACCGTGCATTGCTTTTCCAATGCATTTATTTCTGTTGCAAGTAGCCAGAAATTGCTTCTGTAATTTGCCCCCAAGAACTTAGATTATTATAGATCATACATGGAAAAGTGCCTTGTAATATTATTTTAGCTGTTTCTCTGCCTTCACTTTTCTTCAGGCTTCTGCGTCTGACCTCTAGCCCTCTCTGACCATTATAATTCTTGGTGTCATTCTGCACCCTGATATTCCTATAAATAATACCTTGATTCTAATAAATAAATGGAACAGATATGTCCATCTGTGTGAAAACGAAGAGACCATTATCAAAAACCACTGAGGGAGAACATTTAGGCACTCAAAAATGCAGAGAGGGACCATGGGGGCTTGGGTGGCCTGTTTAGGTTTAAAAGAATTGCCTCCAGTTGAACTCCAAGGTCAAATGGAAAAATCTCTACCTGTCTTCAACCCTTCAGAAGACAAGTGTCTGCTACCGTGGCATCTCCAGGGAAGATGTTTCCTGGACGACCATTCAGAATGGGATTGGGTCTTAGAAACCTCCATTCCAACAGGCTCAAATTCACATCTAGGGTTCACACCTGCCATGTAATGAGCCAGAAGTCTGTACATATCTTCTCAGACTCTGCATTCCCACCACTGCCAGAATGGGAAACACATGAAAAGAGAAGCATCATCTTTGAGAACAGATGATTAGAAAACACAGTTAAAACAACAACAACAACAACAAACAAACACACAGCGATGCCCGGGTGGCTCAGTCGGTTAGGTGGCCGACTCTTGATCTCCGCCTAGGTCATGATCTCACCGTTTGCGAGTTGGAGCCAGCATCCGGCTCTGCGTTGATGGCGTAGGATGCAATCTTCCCTTCTCTCTGCCCTTCTGAAACAAACAAACAAAAACACACAAACACAAAACCACTGCCTTCATCAGAGTGGTCTCAGGGCCCGAGGATATGGCTGGGCAAGGGGTGGGGGGGCAGCCCGCGACCAGCAGTCCTGGAAGCTATGCTCTTGGATCATGAGTTGGGGGCTGAGGCTGCAACAAGTTTGAGAGCACCCGAGAGCAGGCCTGTTTGTTCAGACCAGCTAAACCCAGGGCCCTCGGATCACTTTACATACGGCCAGGGGGGCCCCTGGGGACCCTTTGTGCAGAAGGGCCTCTGCGTTTGAGGGAAGAGGACTACGACCATGACTTCCCCCACTCACCATATCTGCATCCAGCGCCCAGCAAGGGGGGGAGGGGGGGGCTGAGGGGTTTGCCCGTGACTCCTGGCAGGAGAGCTCCGGTGAAGGGAAAGGCAGGGATGCTTGGGGCCGGAAGCAGTCAGGCAGTAAGTGTCCGCAGAGCACAGAGCACGTGGCGGAAGGAGGAGGAGTCACAGGTGGCCCCACGGTGCTACGCCGAATAGCCTCCCAGGATACCCGCCGGGGGACTGCATTTAAGTTCCTAAATAGGGAAAAAGGTGCCAATGCGACCTCGGTCGAGGAAGCTGTAAAAACGAGTGAACAAATTTAGCAACCTCGGGTGGCAGTTTACCTGTAACACTTGGGGCAGAAATGGGGAGCGCGCCAGAAAGCCAGTGGCCCAGGGACAGTGGGAGGGGCAGGGCGCATGCGTGGTAGAAGGCGCGGCTGCGGGAGGAGCAGAGCGGAGCAGAGCGAGCACTGGACGCAGGCGCGCCCACCCCGAGGGCCTCAGGCCAGACTGCGGTGGGGGGAGCATAGAGGGATCCGGCTGGGGGCTGTCCAGGCCTGGCGCTGGGCAGGGTCCCATCTGCCTGAGGTTCTTCATGTTGACTCGGCATTCATGGTCCGTCCCTCGGGGAGCAAGCAGAGCATGGCCAGGGTCTTGGAAGTATTTGAGCACCTCCGCGTCTAGGTGATCACTTTCTTTGACAGTCCCAGCTTGGCTGGGAATAGAGTTGTGTGCCAACTGCTGCATCAGCATCAACTGGCCATCAACCCCTTTCGTTATGAGGTCAGAAGAGTCGTACCCCTGTCCCTTAGGCTTATATTTATGAACGTGGCCTGTGATGTCGTGAGGCCTTGTCAGGTTCAAATTTCCTATGAAAATGATGCTTTCCATTGAGGATAATATAATCGCAGAATTCCGAGGCTCAAAAGATAACTCAAAATAGGAAAACAAAGTTTAAATCATATTTCCTGGTTTACATAAAAACGAATATGGTTGTGAGCGAGGCACTTTATGTTTAGAAACATTGGTCACGAGTTTATACACATGGGTCACGTTATTCATATTACTGCAAGTCAGGGGTGCAGCATTTAAGCTAAAAACTTGAAAGCTTCCATGAGAGAATAGGGGAGGCTGGGATTTGCAAATGCTTGGACAAGGTGCTGGAAACTGATTGGCCCCAGATTCTTTTGTAACCGACATTCTGATCAGTGTCTCTGGGCAAAAGTTTGGTAAGGCTGAGAGCAGAAGAATTCTGATAGGGAGCCCTCTAACCGACCAGGGGGTGACCAGTTGGCCAGGAAGAAAAGAACCAAGGTATGAACAAACCTAGGGCAATAGAAGATACATTGTATTTTCTGATTATAGCAACATGATGGTAAGTATTAGCATCCCCTTTTTGATCACATACCTAAGGACACACAGTTGGTAGATAATCAAATAATGATGACGATGATAATACAATGAGGGTGAAGTCCTACCTGTGTATCGTGCTTTTCTGCTTACAGAATAAATTATTATTAACTAAGTGAGATCCTTGGATCCCTATAGTACACAGGTGATGCAGATTTTGTTATGATCATTTTTATTTCTGGTGTAGGAAAATTTGGACCAAAACAGCTTTTTAAAAATAAGTATTGGAAAGTCATACTTATTGAAATAATAAATCAAAATCCCTCTTTCATATTCATTGCAGGCTCAACAATTTTTAGCTGTGTGACCTGAAGCAAAGGACTTAACTTCCGTAAACCTTAGTTCCCTGGCACCGACTTTCCACACTACAAGGCATGAATGTGATAATCACTTTAAATTGTTTTGTATTGTTAGGGCTTCATAAATATTAACTATTTAAAAATAGGTATCATTAGAGGGGCTCTGGGGTAGCTCAGCCAGTTAAATGACCCAACTCTTGACTTTGGCTCAGGTCATGATTTCAGGTCATGATCGTGAGATCAAGTCCCAAGTCAGGCTCCATGCTGAGTGTGGAGCCTGCTTGGGATTCTCTCTCTCCCTCTCTGCTACTTCCCTGCTTGTGCTTGCTCTCTCTCTCTAAACAAAACAAAACAAAACAAAACTTAAAAACTCTTTAAAAAATTGGGGCGCCTGGGTGGCTTAGTCGGTTAAGCGTCCGACTTCCGCTTAGGTCATGATCTCGCGGTTCGTGGGTTCGAGCCCCGCGTCGGGCTCTGTGCTGACTGCCAGCTCAGAGTCTGGAGCCTGTTTCAGTCTGTGACTCCCTCTCTCTCTGACCCTCCCCTGCTCATGCTGTCTCTCTCTCTCTCTCTCTCATAGAAATAAATAAAAACATTAAAAAAAATTTAAAAAAAAACTTTTTAAAAAATAGTTATCATTAGAGATTCAAAAGTCCTTGGGCCTTTTTCATGTATTTATTTTACAAAATTGTCAAAAGAACTTTTTGAAGATTTTTTATATTTTTTTTTTTATTTTGAGAGTGGGGGGGGCAGGCAGAGAGAGAGAGAGAGAGAGAGAGAATCCCAACCAGGCTCTGAGCTGTCAGCACAGAGCCCAATCCTGATCCAGGGCTTCAGCTCACAAACTGTGAGATCATGACCTGAGCCAAAATCAAGAGTTGTACACTCAACTGACTAAGCCACCTGGGTGCCCCAAAATGACTTTTTAATAAGGTGTTCATATCCTTGAAATGTACCATAGCATCACCAAGACAAGCTGGATTGAAGATATATCATCTGCTTATATATTTTGTGTCTCTTACTTACTCCTCAATATATTAATTCAAGAAATATATGGTTAATGCATCCTCTTTCAAGAGCTTACAGTCCAGGGATGCCTGGGTTGCTCAGTTGGTTAAGCATCCAACTTCAGCTCAGGTCATGATCTCCTGGTTTGTGAGGTCGAACCCCACATCAGGCTCTGTGCTAACAGCTGAGAGCCTGGAGCCTGCTTTGGATTCTGTGTCTCTCTCTTTCTCTCCTTCCCCCCCAGCTTTCACTCTGTCTCTGTCTCTCTCAAAAATAAATAAACACTAAAAAAAAAAAAATTAACAGCTTACAGTCCAATGAGGAAGCAATTTTTGTAGGTAATCCCAGTATAGTGGGGTGAGTACATTTTGACCCAGCAGTTCCACTGTTAATTATTTTCCTAGGAGAAAAGAGAAAATGTAGCCACAAAAGTACTTGCACAGGACTGTTCATAGCAACTTTATTTATAATGGTTCGAACTATAATTGATTAAAGTATCTAACAGTAGGATTATGGAAAACAAACTGTGATAAATCCATACACACTAAAAGCAACAGAAAGGATGAAATATGGATGCAAAGACATGGGAATCTCAAGAACATCATGTCCATGTTGAGGGTAAGAAGCTAGACACAAAAGCGTACATCTATGTGATTTATATGAAATTCCATAGTAGGTCACGTTCATCTATGGTGAAAGGAATCAAAGTGGTGTTGCCTGCAGTTGGATGTGAAACAGGTATTGACTGGGAAGGGCCATGAGAAACCTTTCTGGAGTGATGGAAATGTTTTCTATCTCGATGGAGGGGGCTGTGGGATAGGATACAGAGGTGTATATACGCATTTGTCAGAACTAACCAACTCGAACAGGTAAGATGTGTGCATTTCACTGTATATAAATTCCACTCTAATACAAAAACATTTTTACACTTTTATAAATGATATGTTTTAAAATCTTATTTTCCAAATACTTACTAATAGTAATATATGAATAGTAATACTAATAGTAAGTATATACTAACACATAGCAAGTCAATTACTTTCTGCATATTGACCTTGTATCATCTATTGATAAATCCACTCATTCATTCTGGTAGCTGATTTTTTTTAAATGTAATTTTCTCTGGGTTCTGCCTATGGTAAACCTCCTTCAGGCTTCCATTTCTCTTAATTACCCACTTAGGCTTCCCATTTGTGTCTCTCTGTGCTACAGTTGGGATCCTTTCTTTGATCTTCTTGTTCTCGGGTAGCTTTGTTGATTCTGCTCTCAGACTCCTCTTTTGAGTTTTTAATTTGCATTTTTGCATTGTTCATTTCTGATGTTCATTTGGTAATTTTTCAAATCTGTAGGTCACTTTCCCCACCCCCACCCCAAGTTCCTGTTTACTGCAGATAGTTTTAATTCTCATTTCTGTAAACATAGCTGTTTCATAATTTGCTTCTGATTATTTGGGAAACTTAAGTCTTTCAGGATCTGCTTAGACAGTGAGGTTTCTTTTTTCTGCTGTTTTTCTTTCCTCCCACTGTTTATAACTTATTTTCTTGTGGCTAGGCTACCATGACTTTGCTCCGCTCACTATCTATGAGACATGATTATTGGTGGTTACCGTGGCTTGGGCGAAGGAGCTCTTTTTTCAGTTTTGCATTTGCTTCTGCCAGACATTTGGGGACACTCTCTCTCTGTAATCAATTCAAATTAAGTCATGGCTTAAAGTTTTCTGAATCACTCCTGGGTTTTTAATTTAGGTTATAATTTCTCAGGGGGAGGGCTGGACTCTGGGTAGAACTACCCAGGGACAGATTGTGTGTGTGGTGTGTGTGTGTGTGTTTTCCCAATCCTTTGCTTTATTCAACATTAAGATGTATGTATCTTGGGAAGTTTTTTAAGGGGGGAAGGAGCCAGTAGTCTTACTTCTGCTTTATCTTTATCCTGAGGATACTTCCTTTGGGATTCTAGGTTAACATAAAAGAGGTGTCTAATATTAACCTTTTAACCTGGTGGACACTAAGCTTTGACTTCTCTCCTTCATACTCTGTGAAGTCTTGAAAACAGTTATGTAAGTCCCCTGGATATGTCTTCAGGGCAAAAGGCTTTTGTTGCATTTCTAGCCTTTATGGGTTCTTGGAGCCTCTTAGACTTGGTCTGATAATTTCCTATTATCTTGTTATTTTTTTAATGTTTTTAAGGAGACTGGAAAATTATTTTCCATTGACTTTACCGTGTTGGTTCAAATGGCCTAGCCCATTATTATTGTAAATAGAGGAAAATAAAGTTTAGAACATTTTTAATAGGTTCTTTTTCATAATTTCTAGGTATAAAAATACCTAAATTGGCAAGTTTCACTATGTGAAAATTTAAAATTCTGCATAGCAAGAAATAAAGGATGTAGAAAAGA